GCTCAGATTTTCTAAGGCCCATTTCACTTCACATTCTAGGATGTCTGGTTCGAGGTCAGTGACCATCTCATTGTGGTTATCTGGGATGTTAAGCTCATTCTTGTATAGTTCTTCTGTGTAGTTTTGCCATCTCTTCTTAATCTCTTCTGCCTCTGTTAGGTCTCTGCCATTTTGGTCCTTTATCATGCCCATCTTTGCATGAAACGTTCCCTTCATATCTCCAATTTTCTTGAAGAGATCTCTGGTCCTCCCTATTCTGTTGTTTTCTTCTATTTCTTTGCACTGTTCATTTAAGAAGGCATTCTTATCTCTTCTAGCTACTCTCTGGAATTCTGCATTCAATTGGGTGTATCTTTCTCTTTCTCCTTTGCCTTTCGCTTCCCTTCTTTCCTCAGCTATTTGCAAAGCTTCCTCAGACAGCCATTTTGCTTTCTTGCATTTCTTTTTCTTTGGGATGGTTTTAGTTGCTACCTCTTGTACAATGTTGCGAACTTCCATCCATAGTTCTTCAGGCACTCTGTCTATCCGATCCAGTTCCTTAAATCTATTTGTCACCTCTACTGTATATTCATCAGGAATATGATTTAGTTCATACCTGAGTGGCCTAGTGCTTTTCCCTACTTTTTTCAATTTAAGCCTAAATTTTGCAACGAGAAGCTCATGATCTGAGCCACAGTCAGCTCCTGGTCTTGTTTTTACTGACTGTATAGAGCTTCTCCATCTTTGGCTGCAGAGCACATAGTCAATCTGATTTCTATGTTGACCGTCTGGTGATGTCCATGTGTAGAGCCGTCTCTTGGGTTGTTGGAAAAGAGTGTTTGTTATGACCATCGTATTCTCTTGACAAAATTCTATTAGCCTGTGCCCTGCTTCATTTTGTACTCCAAGGCCAAACTTGCCTGTTATTCCGGTTATCTTTTGGCTTCCTACTTTAGCATTCCAATCCCCCATGATGATAAGGACATCATTTTTTGGTGTTAATTCTATAAGGTGCTGTAGGGCTTCATAGAACCGGTCAATTTCATCCTCTTCAGCACCAGTGGTTGGGGCATAGATTTGGACTACTGTGATATTGAATGGTTTGCCTTGGATTCGAATAGAAATCATTCTGTCATTTTGAGGATTGTATCCCAGTATTGCTTTTCCTATTCTTTTATTGACTATGAAGGCTACTCCATTTCTTCTGAGGGATTCTTGCCCACAGTAGTATACCTGATGGTCATCTGAGTTAAATTCACCCATTCCTGTCCATTTTAGTTTGCTGATTCCTAAGATGTCGATGTTCAGTCTTGTCATCTCTTTTTTGACTACGTCTAGCTTGCCTTGATTCATGGATCTTACATTCCAGGTTCCTATGGAGAAAAAATCTTTACAGCATTGGACTTTCCTTTCACCACCAGATATATCCACAGCTGAGCGTCCTTTCGGCTTTGGCCCAGTCGCTTCATTCTTTCTGGCGCTACTAGTACTAGCCCTCTGCTCTTCCCCAGTAGCATATTGGACACCTTCCGACCTGAGGGGCTCATCTTCCAGCGTCATATCTTTTTGCCTTTTAGTACTGTCCATGGGGTTTTCATGGCAAAGATACTGGAGTGGTTTGCCATTTCCTTCTCCAGTGGATCACATTTTGTCAGAACTCTCTGCTATAACCTGTCCGTCTTGGGTGGCCCTGCACGGCATAGCTTATAGCTTCATTGAGTTACGCAAGCCCCTTCGCCACGACAAGGCAGTAATCCATAAAGGGGATGTTAAATTTAGCAGATGTAATAATAAATAATTGTAATTCTTATATATACAGGTAGTCCTCTACTTATGACCACAACTGAGCCCCAGATTTTTGTTGCTGAGCAAGGCAGTTGTGAAGTGAATTGTGCCTCATTTTGCAATCTTTTTGCTACAGTTATTCAGCGAATCACTACATTTGTTAAGTGAACTATGCAGTTGTGAAGTGAATCTGGCTTCACTCATTGACTTTGCCTGTTGGAAGCTAGCTGGGAAGGTTACCAATGTTAATCACATTACCGCAGGACAGAGCAACTGTCATAAATATATGCCAGGAATAATTTTGGTTACCAGATATCAAGTACCCTATCACTTTATTTTAAAAAGACATGTAGTGTACTCATGTCACAGAATAGCCACTTCCTTCAAGGGTTCCCCATCTCCTATTTATTGCATTAATTAGATTTTTTAAAAAACTATAAAGTAGATTTTCTTTGAAGGCCCAATTATCCCACTTCTATAACTTTGTGTAATGCTGATGCTCAAAAAGTAGAACAAGTATTCCTTCGAGAGAAAAGAAACTCTGTAAAATCTATTTAATGACTGTGATATGATGGATAAAAAAAAAGAAAGCAAATGTTTAAAACAGGGAGCTTTATGATGAGTCATAGTGAGTTACATTGTGTTCTGTGTCTCCATAGAAGTGAATCACACTATTTGCAATTGATCATGCCAGCAGGCAAGTGACATAGGATTGCTGTTTAAATGCTAATGCATTAGAAGCTAAAGCAGAAACTTCCTTTGTAGTTTTAGCACCAGATCCTAAATTGATGGTGGTCTGTGAGAATATCTGCATAGCTTGATTTTCTGGAGGAAAAAAGTTTAAAATACATAATAATAATGTGTTCCAAAAATGAATAGTCAGCATATCTAATAAATCCTCCAGCAGAGCTGAGGGGGTCAGTGCTTTACCAGATTTCTTTCTTTCCTGAGTGTTGGATATAAATGTCCTTTGAGTTCCATCAAATATTTATGGGATATTTTATTGTTCATCCCTCCCTTCAATTTCTGCAATAGGGGAAAGAAACTCTGAATCCAAAGATTGATTCCAGAGTAACCTATTGGAACGACTTGTTCCTAAAATATTATTTTTTTGACAGGACAGTAGATATTTAACAAGTTAATGGAAGGATACTCTTTCCTTTGCTCCTTTCACTAGTTTATTACCTCTATCTATCTTATATGTTACATTCTAAATCCTTATATCTATATCTATATTATCTATCCTCTGTCCTAAATATATTAAATTAAGTATAACTAATTTTAGAGATCTCAACCAAAGGAAATACATTTCCAATTCTTCCTTGAGTTTTCTTATAAGTGAATGATCATAAACTGGAGAGTAAAATCTCCCAAAAAGTGACTGTTGTCTTATATCTCCATCAAACACACATGAAGCACATTGTAAAGAAAAATCTAAATATTTCTTACCTTGTGAAAAACTATTAATAAAACCAAATTCTAAACTTAAATTTTATAGCAACAGCAAGAGTATATAATAAACTTTCCTTACATTACCTGTAGAGACACAAATATCTCCTGCTACCAGTTTTTCTCAGCTCATATAGTATTTGGAGTGACTCATGTACCTCAACATACAGTATGTGTTCCAGCAGATCTCTGGAACTCAAAATTCCCAGAATAAGTTAACTCCATGCAGTCTAATCTATTCCAGATACAGTATTCATTACTAGAATGACAGATCATAAACTCTAGAAACACATCCCTGATGCCATCATTATGTTTATTTATGTATTTATGAGCTACATTTTGGCAAATGACCCTAAATATCCAAATACAAGAAAAATAAGTATACCAAAATAAAATAACAACATACATATAAATGGGTGATGGTGATTATGATGATGAAGAAGATGGCGACAACAGTGATGATCATCATCTGAATGGAAGAGCCTCCTAAATCAAGTAGTTGTAGATTCTGAAATTTTAAAAGAAATAGCAGGGCAAATCTCTCTACCACATAGGGAAAAGTTCCAAAGTCGTGTATTCATCAGAAAATAATAGAAAAATAAACCTCTTTGGCAATTGCAATAAATGGCTAGACTCTTCTGGGGTTGGGTGTCCTTTAAATTATCAACTATTTAGGGGCTGAAATGAGTTTAGTACTTTCATTTAGAAATATAGTGATGCAGAATAAAGTCAAGGACCAGAAAAAGAGGAAGTTCCATTTCAGGAACATTCCCATGAAAATGCATTCAAATATGATGGGATATCATCAACACAAAGTTGATGTTGGCTAGATCTAACTTCTATATGAACAAGACTAATTCATAACAGCTAAAGCTGAGTGATTGTATTCCAAACTGAAGCCATCACCAAAAATCTTCAAAGAAAGCGAAGGCAAAGATTACCCCCCCCCAAAAGATAGGTTGATTACAAGATAAAGGGCTACCAGATCTAGTGCAAGCAATCTCAGAAACGGCTAGATGGCAACAATCAGATACAGAAAACTCTGATGCCATCTAGTTATAATCTGGATTTTGGCAGCTCAGATCTGGTAGCTTAAATTTATAAAATAGCCACGTTAGGGTCAGAGATACATTTCATTAGTACCAAGTGTATTATTCTGAAGTAGATAAAAATGTTATTCTGTCTTATTTTAAAAACATCAACATAATATTGTATATAACTTCTTAAAAGCTTACATGGGAAGTGGATCTTAAGCAGAAATTTACCAACATTTTTTTCCTCTGGACCTGCACATCACAAAGGAAGCCAATGGGTTTCCCATTTTTTTATATTTTAAATGAATCCAATATTTAATGGAGCATGGGAAGCTCCTCAGTGGGCAACTAAACAATTAAACAAGCTCACTGTTTGCTCCTTCATTTTTAAATATTGGTGAATCTTATGCCATTAATGTTCCTTCTGGTTTTACTTTTTGTACAAGAAGTATGTCCATTCTGTTTCTCTTCCCAGTACTTAATGCTATGCTTGCTATTTGGTTTGATGTGGAGCTGATGATGGATTGAGGCCATAATAGCTACTTCTTTCCACCTATATCTGTCTGTTGTCTTTGATGGTGTCATTTCATGTCTCTTGCTGGTGTCACCCATATCTCTGAAGAGAGCATATGGGTTGTGTTGGTTATCCCAATTTCTTTTAATTTATTTTTGTAGACGTTACCCTGGTTTATCTGCTATTTTACTAACTCTGATTTATTGTTTTCGCTTTTTTCCGTTCTTTTGCTAACAAAGTTGAGTTGACCAAAGCTGACCTGCAAGGTAGAGAAGGCTTTTGTTTCCTTGCCAGTTTGACTAAAAGTTACCTTCTAATGTAACCTTTTATATATCAATATCGATATTCCTTATTAATGCAGTCACATCTCTAAGGCAAAAGGATATTAATTTTCTTCAACTTGCTAAGTTGGAGAATGGGGTGGTGAGAATTTTGGGGGAGAAATGTTTACTAAGGTTTTTGGCCTAGCTTGAGAGGTTTGACTGTATCTCATCTTAAGAATATCTATAACTGCATGGCTTGATTTTCTGAACAAAAAGGTTTAAAATACATAATGAAAGTAGAACTGAATGTTTAGTTCCTAAAATCAAGATGTGGGATAAGTACTTCAGCACAGTGAAATTACTTACAAGGCAATCATATGATCCAGGAAACTGTTTTTCCAATTCTCTGCTCAATCTCATTATGATTATGAAACTCATTCTGAAAACATATATGGTGGGGGGATAGAAAAAGTTTAAAGAGGGATAATTGATTACAAATATTTGAAGGGTAAATTTTCTTCATGTTTCTAGGGGTGGATGGGAAACTATTGCACAAAAATGCAAATATGTTTTAAGGCACTTTCCCAGTCCTGATTCTTTGTTTTCTCTCTTTCATTTAGTATTTGTAGCTGCTTTTGCACATTCATTTGGAAATGTGTACTCATTATATAATTGGAAAACCGATGAAATTCTAAATGGGCAGTTCCAGCTAAAGTGCCCAGAGCTCATATTGTGGTGTTACCTCAGATAGTTTTGATTTGGTGCCTCTTGAGGGAGTAGACAGAATTCTTCGCATGGTGGATTTGGCTACATGTTTATTAGAGCTTCCTGAGTTATGAGGTGACACAGGATGTTATTGTAGCTGGGTTTGTGCTATGATATCAGCTTCTTTCAGAGAAGGGGTGATGCCATCAGCTTTGCAAGATCATCTAATTATCATCTTGCTTCCAGTTGAGAAGTTTGTGCCTGCAAGTAGAGAATCTTGTGGAAGCAGATTATTTAGATCTGTTCAGTCAGTTCAAACACAGAGACAGCTGTCAGTCCTACAAGTCCTATAAGCTAAAGAAGATGAAGAAACAAATGCCATTTAGGCCAGGATTATTTTTATTTACAGTAACAGAATCTTCCAAGCCTGAATGAGCTTCCCTTTCCTCCACCTTATCAAAATGTGAATTAGACAAGTACCTGAGAAATTTTCACAAACTAGTTCCTTGGATGGGCTCAAGGCTCCCTTCCCTGACTGGTAATGACTCATTGCCTTGTCCTTCAAGGCCTATACAGCAGCATTAATTGTGTTTATGGATGACATTTGGTGATGCCAGAGATACATCCATCTTTCTGCTTCTTAATCTCTCAGTGGCTTTTGATACTGGCAATAATGATATCCCTCTGGACTGGCAGCAGGTTGAGATCTGATATGACTTTGAGAATTGAGGTTGTCATTTTTATGGTGCTACACTCTTCATTTCTTTGTAGCAAGTTCCAGTTTTGTGATAGGGTTTCGTGAATTGCACGGGTTGCCAGTATGTTTCTGGGTACGATTTAAAGTGCTTATTATCCCCTGTAAAAACTTTCATGGCATTGGACCAGGTTATTTGAGGGATTGCCTATCTTCCATGGTTTCTGCTTGGCTAATATGAATTGACAGAGTTAGAATATTCTGGTCTTTTTGATTAAACAATGCCATCTATCAAAAGCCAAGAAGCATCCCTCTGATTTTTGGTGCCTGCCCATTGGAATGGGCTGGAAGGAGGAGGAGGAGGCCACCTCAAAGTTGGGAAATAAAAAATGGAGAAATGATCCCTAGTCCAGCATTATTGAAAGGCAGTCAACATTTATCAGTAAATCTTATCTCCAAGAAAAGAAGAAAAGAAGGTATGAGAAGAAATTCTAATGGATGAATTGATGGAATAATAACACTTGTAAGATTTACACAAAATAGGAAGCAGCATAATTGCTTTTCTTCTAAAACATACAAAACAAAGATTCTAAAAGAAGGGTAAATATTCTGTGATCCATAAATTTTGTTTACCCACTCAGCTGAGATGCAGAGAAAAAAAAACTCATGGCTTTGCTTTTCAATACCATTTAGCAAGGAATATGAGTGTGAGAATTATTTAGCAATAGCAATAGCACTTATACTTATATACCACTTCACAGTGCTTTACAGCCCTCTCTAAGCGATTTACAGAGTCAGCATATTGCTCCCAACAATCTGGGTCCTCATTTTTACCGATCTTGGGAGGATGTAAGACTGAGTCAACCTTGAGTTAGTGAGATTCGAACTGCCGAACTACTCGCAGCCGGCAGTCAGCAGAATTAGCCTGCAGTACTGCATTCTAACCACTGTGCCACCACGGCTCTGTATTCCCTACTTATAGGTTTCCAAAGCATCTCTTTGGCCCCTATGAAAAAAAAGAAATTGGACTGAACAAGCTTCTGGACTGATGTAGATTTCTTGTACATGTATTTATAGGTAGTCTTGACTTATGGCCACAACTGAGCCCAAAATTTGTGTTGCTAAATGAGGCTGTTTTTAAGTGAATTTTGCCCCTTTTATGAATTACTGTAGTTGTTAAATTAGCAACATAGCTGTTGAATGAAACTGGTTTCTCCATTGACTTTGCTTATCAGAAGGTTGCAAAAGAGGATCACATGACCCTGGGACATTGCAAGCATCATAAATGTGAGTCAGTTGCCAAGTGTCTGAATTTTGATCCCATTGACCATGGGGATGCTGCAACTGTTGTAAGTGGGAAAAATGGTCATAAGTCCCTTTTTTCAGTGCTGTTGTAACGTTGAACAGTCACTAAATCAACAGATGTAAGTTGAGGATTACCTGTATTTTATTGTGCAAGGGCTTATGGAAACACACTGTAGACTGGAATAGTTGAATAGAATCTGGAGATATCTGGTCCAGCCCCTGTTCATTGCAGGATTCTCAATACTTCTAAACAAGGAGAGTCTGCCACTGCCCAAGACCGTCTGCTCCATTGTTGAACAGCTGTCCTGGTGTCCAACCAAAATCTACTTCCTGGTTATTTAAACTCTTTGCATTTCATCCTCTCTTTAAGTACTTGAAGACGGTTGATAAATTTTACTTTGGGGTCCTTTCCTTTATCAGCCAAACAATGTCTGACAGTACATTTGACAATACTCTTCTTCTTTTCTTTCTTTCTTTCTTTCTTTCTTTCTTTCTTTCTTTCTTTCTTTCTTTCTTTCTTTCTTTCTTTCTTTCTTTCTTTCTGTAGTTTATGACTGCATTTTGTTTTTTGCTTTTTTTTGCAACAGCATCATACTATTGGCTCATATTCAGTTATGGCTTCTTTCTCATTCTCAATTCCAGTCTATCGGGAATCTCATACTGATTCTATTGCATTGCTGTGGGTTCAGAATGCCCAGTGTTGTCATGCTGATAGAGAGACAAGCAAAAACTTCACTTGTAGAAAACCATTGATAACCTAGACAGGGACACATACAATTTCATTTCTCTTATGGCCACTCTGTATGTCACTGAAAATATGGAAATATTTCTGAGCATTCTGGTAAATGCATTTTCAAAATCCTATGTTAGGCAAATTGTGTTATTAGCTGCTGAATCGCAAAACTTTGGTAGCTGTCTTGAGTGTAAGGTTTGATTATTTAATACTATCATCTAATATTAGAGTTATCTAGTATTATCTAGAGCCATGTTTGACCTGGACAATAAATCTTGGTGGCTATTATCAAAGTGTGCATTTTTTCTACTTTTATTTGCTGGCAGATTCTTGTGTGATTTTTCCTAAAACACTGTAAGATATTCCTTTAAATAGTGAGTTTGAGAGAAATTCACTGAGCTGGATGGTTTTAAATGCAAACAGTGTTTTCATAAATCTTGACATCTAAATTGATGTCTTCTGAAATCTAAATCAGATATGACATTATTTGCATAATGTAACATTAAGGCTTTAATGTTTTGTTAGGTGAAGAAAGCAGAACCAGAAAGCATTTATAAAAACAGCATTTCTGACACCCTATACAAAGTTTGGAGAAATATATTATTTAAATCCTTTTCTCTTCAGTGCACATCAGTTAGCTCCCTTTTGCTTCTGTCATGAATGGCCAAACATAAAGCAGCTTTATTTTACTTTGGAGTGTGTTTTGTTTGTGTGTGGGGAGGGGGATTGACCTGTTAATTTTTGTGACATGTCTATTGTGATAATCAAGTGTCACAAACACAGGAGTTAAGACCCTAGTAGGGAAAAGAAGCATCAATGGCAGATGTTCTCCTAGCAAGAAGGGTCTGTAAAAATTGCTTATATTTGAAAAGCAAATATAACATCTATACATTTGACTTAAAGAAAGATACATCCCTGCTAAATGTCAGAACTCTTTTTAGCATTCCCATGCTGACTTCACAGAGATAAAATTTCACTTTGTTTCCTTTTCTTCCCCAGAGATTTTAAATGCATGTAAAGTTCTGCTTCAGGCACACAATCTTGATTGGTTGCTCACCTAAAAGGTTTTTTTTTCCAGATATGCATTGTAAAAGCTTTTTCACAAATGTATTTGAAACATGTGAATTGTAATTATGCATTTGTTAGGTGATTAGTCTGCAATAAATTGGCAAGTACTTTCAAGCTGATCTAGTCAATCAAATTAGGCGAGGTTCCTTCAAAATCTCCAGCAGATATCTTACAAGAATAAAGCCCCAAAACATGAAACATGGGCAGGGATATCATGTGGTGTGGGTTTTAAGTTATTTGCAACAGTGCCACTGAAGTTCTGTTTTGTTTGTTTTAATGCGTATCATTTTAATTGCACTACTGTGGCAATTGACTTTAATAACCACATGCTTTGGACATTCCTGACTAAGCTGGAGATGCATTGGAAACTGGAGTTTCTCAGAACAGGAATGCTGATTCTGTCATTAAGCATTTACTACCTAACACTAAGCATGAGAAACTCAAAGCACAGGGCCCCATTAAGCAGTGAAAAATCAGGAAGGACAGCACCCAATTTAAACTGCAGAGAGCATGTGAAAGGTCCACATCCTCGTGTTATAGAGGACAATCAATTGCTTTAAGTAGATTCATTCTAGCATGAAATAAAGAAACCAAGGTTTCTATCCAGCCATGTGGCATAAGGTGTCTAAGTAGTTTCTCCACACTTCCAGCCTGTAAAACGAAGGACCCTAACCTGACAAGTGATCCAATTAGATTTACCAGCCAGTTATGCATGGAAGAGGGGATTTAATGGCAGAAACTATCTGCTCTCCGTTTTCTTCTTGCAAACATGGGTGGTCCTTTGGAGAATTGTGAGAGTTTGTAGAGAGATGCTTAAAAGGGAAGTTGATTTAGAGTTCCAGGAGTTTGGCATTTTCCCTACCAGAATTAATATAAGCCAGGGTAGCTCTCAGTTTGACTATCTTCATGTAATATACTGTAAAATTTTCATGATATAATCCAAATAACAGCAGTATAGGCTGCCCTCATTTTACAATTCTAGAGAAATAAAAAGGCATAAGCCAGGTCTTGAAGTGCCTTAGCTAGTGTTGCTGGCAAAAATGTAAAGATTATACATATAGTCCTCGAGTTATGATCACCATTGATCCCAACATTTATGAGATTAAGTGAGACATTTGTTAAGTGAGTTTTGCCCCATTTTATGACCTTTCTTGCCACAGCTGTTAAGTGAATCACTGGAGTTGTTAGCTTAGTAACGTGGCTGTTAAACGAATCTGGCTTCTTCATTGACTTTGCTTGTCGGAAGGTTGCAAAAGGGGATCACATGACCCCGGGGCACTGTAACCATTAGAAATAGGAGCCAATTGCCAAGTATCATGAATTTTGTTCATGTGACCATGGGATGCTGCAACGGTCGTGTGAAAAATGGTCATAATGGTCATATTTTTCAGTGCCATTTTAACTTTGAACAGTCACTAAATGAACTGTTGTAAGCCGAGGACTACCTGTATATCAAAAATGGTTCACTGGGTTGGAGGTAGAAATTTTGCAAAACAAATAATTTGCTCCATTTTTACCAAATAGATTCTAAAAGTAAATCACAACGAAGCATAGGAGAAATAAGTTTCCTTGTAGAACCTGAGATCCTATACATCCCATGATGGCTCAGACCAGTTACCCATTTAGTTTAATATCCTCAACCAGGTAATTCTTGGAAGCTTACAAGTAGGCTATATAAGCGAAAGCATCTTTGGCTTCATCTTTTACTAGTGCTCCATTGGATTCCTATTTGCCATCATGACAGATGGTGAAAGTTAGAGCCTAAAAAATTTATTGAAGGCCAAGTATTGCTCATCCCCAATCTCACACCTGATATTAAGGAAATTCATAATATATAGTTCAGAGATTAACCAATTATAGTCTTGTTTCCACAAATAACTAAACACTATGCAAACCAGACATAACAAGCCCAGAATGGTTTGTAAATAACTTGATTTAATATAGGAGCACCAAGTTCATTTAACTGCCCGTTCTATCTTGAATCAGAATATAAGGAAAGATCTAGTGATAATGTTTTTACTAAACCATAGATCCATTTCCTGAATGCCAGTGGATAAACTTTAGAGGTTCCCAAATAGTATATGAAATGATTTATGCTTCAGATGTAATTAAACCATCTTACTCTTATTGTTCATAATTTTCTTCTAAATCAGTTGAAATAGTGAATTGCTTTGAAGAGAACCCAGATGGAGATGTATTTAAGGACCTGTCTCTTCACTGATTAAAAATATGTGTGTTTATAACCTATACTGAATGCAGCAATTCACTTTCTGCAACATCAGCCACAGATTCAGAGCCTGTTGAGGAGCATATTTTATAAATCAGAAGGAAAGACAATGAAGGATTTAATATAAGTGACAGTATTGGTGATCTGTTTGGAAATCCATTCAAAAAGAGAGATGAGGACTTAGAATGTCCGAAGAGAAGAAGATTGCTGAGCTATTGCTTTAAACCTAATCCACCCTTTGTTGCAGACCTCTTCTACAACCCTTTGTTGCAGAGTTCTATTGCATTCTTATAAGAATATGTATTCTTATCCCACTTTCAAATACTATGTGTCATCACTGTAAAGCTTAGAGGAGGTGGACTGAAATGTCATGTTCCATGTTGGCAAACTTGTGAAACCAGCTGGTTCTACTGGTTTCCTGTAGGATTATGCAGTGCCTAACCTGTTCTCTCTCTCTTTCTTCAATACATTTTTAGCTGTGAGGGAGAATGAGAACCTTGGCTTCTGCAGCAAATTTTTCCCCCATTTATAATTATATCGGCTGACCATCAACTGTTCAGTGTAGAGAATATGAAATCCGAAATTGGCTAGCTTATCACTGGTTTGAAACATGAAGCTGGGATTCAAAAAATGTCCTCTAATATTTATTTACTTATTTTTTATTTATTTTCATTTATTTATTAAATTTATATGCTGCCCATCTTACTGTCAAACGACTTGGATCTAGAGTCCAGCTGGCCATTCAGAAATTGTTTTAAATACTCTAATTCTTGGTAACATCTAGGGATTTTTAGGTTGATACAAAAGAGTTGCTTAGTTGATCCATAGTTTCAATATTTTTTTTTAAAAAAAACACAATTGGTCTTTGGTAGAAAAAGAAAGGGAGGGAGGGAGGTTTCAGGGCATAAAATAGAGCATTGTGCATGTAAATTGAAGGAGATCTTGTCATGTGGTAAAGATTGTTGGTTGGGGCTGAAATTTCCATCAAAAGAACCATGACCTTAGAATATTGAGTGGATGCATGAAGATGGCATGCAGTGGTGACAGCAAGATTTCCTTCCAGGATAGAAGGGAATATGACAAAGTAGCTATATTGACGTGTCCTGGATCTCCTTTCTACTTATCATTCACTTGGTTCCTATTTCAAAGAAATCTCTCTCTGCTTTGTAGATTTGACAGCATTGCTAAAGAAGCAAAATCATTTATCATCATTTTTTTTAATCATTCCACAATGGATAGGGGTCCATTTTGATACATGAATCTCATAGGATACTGCTAATTAATTATATCCAGATATCTCACCAGCATGGAGCAAGTCAAATTTATTTCTTATTCATCTTAAATCCTCATTCTTTGTGCTACAGTATTTAAGAGAATAGACTAGTATCCACTGGAGCACTATGTGAAATACTCATAAAACCAATAGTAACTACTTGCAAAGTCCAAATAGAACTATAATTAGCTTAATACATCCAAAAAAGACATGTGTCATAGACATTTTTCTAAAAGCCTCTGTGCAATTTCAAACATTCTCAGATCTGCAGAATTATTGGTACAAACCTAAATTTCTCATCTATGATGGAAAAGAAGTATTTAATTTCATACAAGGAAGAAAATGGAACAAGCAAAGGAACAAATCAAAAAGAGCTGACATTTTACCAGGGCCTATTAATTTTTCCCCCCAAATATCAGTAGAAGAGTTTTAGGAGGAAGGGAGATTTACTAGACAATTAATCTGGTTTATTTAGCTACCCAACTCACACATAATGATGTCCACCTCACAGACTGTCAGCCCATGTTTCTACCAAATTCCCTAGAAAATATATCTGCAGCATGGAAATAACATTTATGAAAAAAAAGCATAGGAAGACTGATAACCTGGTGAATGAAGTTGTTTAACTGAGAATAGGAGGGCTATGACAAGTCTTAGTATTTTTGGAGGAAATAGTACGTATAAGCCTTTTTCTCCCTGACCCTACCAAGGAGGGAATATGCTACTTTTCATACATTCCTTCTGCTGTGTACAAGTTACCTGTTTGTTGCTGAGTGTTTAATTCTCCATGTCTTTATGTGTCCTGAATTTCTGTGGCATGTTCCATGAAATGGAAAAGAATACAATTTGGGGGGCTGGGTAGGGAAGGTGGGCAGGAGGTTGCATGAAGATAACAATTCATAATCCACTATTGTGTTGATTTCTTAGTAGCTACTCTTTCTTTCATGCATTTCTTGGTATCCCATTTCAGGACCAAGCACCACCTGTCAGGAAGATTCCTGTGCCAACCAAGGCATCTGTATTCAGCAGTGGGAAGGCTTCACTTGCGATTGTTCCATGACATCATATTCTGGAAATCAGTGCAATGACCGTGAGTACCACCTTTTTAAAAACTGAATTGTTTACTAGGGAACTGAGAACCATTTGGTCTGTGTCCTGCATGAATTCTAATGTTAGCGTTATTTCGTGAACTTCCTGGGAAACTAGCTTACGAAACTGGATTAGATAAGAGAAATGGAAAGTTTTTATTTTCTTTGATTCAGTATCAAAGTCTATGAGTGCATTCTGTTTTCGTGTTTAAATACATTTTTTAAAAGGTATTGATGTTCTTTTTATAGCAACCAGATGGAACTGTATGTGCTAGACAATAATAAGAGCTTTCCTAAGAAGTACATTTGCTTCTTAAAAGTTTTTCTAATCCTCATATACATGTGTGGCCTTTTCTAAATGCATGCAAAATTCAAAAGTTTTTAAATGAAAGTCTGTAAACTTTACTGGTTCTACAAAATACACCTGCATTAGACGCTAAGTTCTTCCCCATGATATGTTTTTTAAGCAAATGTTTACCATAAGAGGTGATGCATTAAATCAGAATTTAACCTGGGAAATGGTCCATGCTGGATATGTAACAAAAGAGCAGATTTTGTTTATCATTAGAAATGTAGAATGTGTCATGTGTCTGACTAATGAAACACTGCTAATATTTTTGCTTTGACAGAATGATAATATAATATATATTTATCATCAAGTTATAACATGATATGGAACACTATGCCTGAGTAACTTTTCAAGCTTTATATAACCATATCTTGAAGAAGGTCTATAGCTCAGAGTGATTGTCTATAAAAAGAGAAGGTCCTAGGTTAAGCTTACTATCAACATATACAGTGTTTCTCAACCTTGACAATTTTAAGGCATGTGGACTTCAATTCCCAGAATTCTGGGAGTTGAAGTCCACATGTCTTAAAATTGTCAAGGTTGAGAAACATTGATATAGAGTGATCAGTTAGCAAGTAATGGATCTGGGTTCATAATACCAAATATATTTAACACCTTTTGGGCTTGGACCACCATATTTGGAATTTCTAACAACTGTTTTAAGTTCAAAATAGGCTGTTGAATTACTCTGATGCTGTTCCAAATTTAAAGAAAGAAGTAAGCCCACTTTCAAAATTCTATATAAAAATGATTTCACATGAATATAGATGTTCACGATATAAGATACCAAAGAAAATTTTAGCTTTTAGCTAAAGATAGGTGGAAAATGTTGCAGTGTTAAAGTAATTTTACTGTTAGAAATAAATGTAAAAATGGGAAGCTGGTCTGTAGGTGTTTATTAGCTGGGCTCATAGCGTGCATTTTTTCTCTCTCCCTGTCAAATCCCCTTAGAATTCTTTAATATAATAGAGCCCATTTAATATATTATTTATTTTCTGGGACTTAATAGTCCATTAATACCCTTCTAACATATATGCGTTCCTCTTATTTTTTCTAAAAGACGTGATAAGACAACCAGTGTATAAGTAATACAAAGCTACATTTATAAAGCTGCATTTAAGTCATCAGCTTTGCAGAGCTCTTAACAGGATAAATTATTTCATGTTGTTCCTGCAGTTAATAAAATGGTCCATATTATTGCAATCATTTTAGATGGCCACTATAAAGGTTTCAGCAAGCCAGGAAGCCAGCCTCTGAGCACAGTGTGAGATTTTCCTTAATGTTCAGGAATAAATGGCTAGAAATGACATCTAGAGGGTAAATTGAAATTTAAAAGCCGATTAAAAGAAGCTTTTCCATTGTTTAAAATGTATATAATAACATGTGCTATGTATGCAAGAAACATGTCAGAAAATTGTTAAGTGTGCCTGATTTGCAAAGAAGTTAAAGGGAAAGAAAACACAGAAAACACAGTTTTAGAAAGCCATCCTCTTCTTATGATGATTTTGTCAAAGTGATGGATCTAAAGAAAGGCTTGTTCATTTTTGAACTGCCATTAGTTGTGTGGCTTTGATCCTCATACCGTACTTTTAATTCAGAAATGTTTGTTGTGAGATACTGCCTCCTCATGGATCAGAACAGGTAAGTTCATGCTGATTTCTCTGAACCTATCAAGCTGAGATCACAAAAGGTATGTGCTGTTACTTATATTTAAAGATCTTGGGTGTGCAAGAGCGGATGTTATTCCTTTCATTTTTTATTATTTTCTGGAGAACAAATAAAAATTATCCCTTAATGTCCTGAGGCTAGTATGAATCAAAGACTAGGAGAACTACACAAACTGTTTTTGAGCACACAAAAAAGGCCATATGGATTCCCTTTCTGAGAATGAGGGAAAGAAATCCATTCAGCTAATTAATATTAATTTACAGCCCAGGTTATTATGTGCTGTTAAGGTCTATACATACCGGTATCCATAATGGACTATGGATATATCCATAATGGACATATCCATAATGAACAATTTGGAGCTATAAGACTTTAGAAGGATTTGTATAATATGAGCTAGGTATATTTGAAATTAGGCTTAATGTGCAAGTTTATGGTGTTTGTGAATATATCTCATTCTGTACAGATAGATAGACAAATGATTGTAGAGCAAGAATATTAATTTCTATGAGACATTTTGGTTTCTTCTCCAGTTCTATATTCTATAACTATATATAGTTATATTCTATAACTAACTATGATATATACTTTTCTCTTTCTTTAAATAAACAGATTATTTTGTGAGATGATAAATACAAAATTAAGTTCTAAAAACTAGGACGTAAATCATCCCTAAGAAATTAGCCAAATAATTGGGGTAGCTTTAATACTGTCTGCCTTTTTTCTAATAAGTAAATAAGAGTGAAAACCAATGCAAAACAATGATTTGTAGCTTCCTAAATAAGGACTGAAGTATATATTCATTTGATGAATGCTTTTATTAAATTGCATAGTTGATGCAGTACTTATTCTATCTTCCTCCCGAATGCAAATACATTATAGATATTTAAATAAAATTACTTGGAAATTGAACTTAAATCATAGTGTTATTTGAAATTACTCTTGCTGTTAATTAAGTATTATAGTAAAATGTACTGTATACTAAAAGCTGCTCCAGGAGCTTTTTCTCTGCAACAGATCAGTTGCTTGCTGGAAGCTCTGGAGTGAAAACCTTTTTTCCAATGTATTTCTGATGGAATAATTTTATTTATTTATTTATTTATGAGACTTATATACCGCTTTAAGTGCAGGCACTCTCTAAGCGGTGTACACCAGTAAGCAATGTATATGTATATGTGTGTGTGTGTGTGTGTGTGTGTGTGTGTGTGTGTGTGTGTGTGTATATATATATATGTTTTCTGAGGTTTTCACGGGTGTTTGTATGTAGGTCTTTGGTTGTTCGGGTTTTCTCCCGCGTAAAATTGGAAGTGTCTTGGCGACGTTTCGACGAAGTCCCATTCGTCATCTTCAGGCTGGTGTTTTCAGCTTCGTGCTTCGAGCAGCAATGTGTGGTCTTAGCTGTTTCTTCCTTTTAACTGCCAGTGGGGGTATGAACTGATTGGGTGGGAGCTTGGCTGTGTTCTGATTGGGTGGAGGTGTGTTCTGATTGGTTAGGGGCGTGGCTGTGCTCTGATTGGCTGGGGGGTTGGCTGTGCTCTGATTGGCTGGGGGGTTGGCTGTGCTCTGATTGGCTGGGGGAGTGTTCTGTTTGGTTGTGCTCAGGTTAGTCTGAGTTGCAGAGGGGTTTAAGATTTTGGGCTGCCTTGCTATTTTTTGGCTTCGCGTTTGTGGTCGTGCCTCATTTTCATGGAGGGTGTCAGTTTGCTTCGTGTATGGATTGGAGGGCTTTAAAGTGGCTAATGATGCAGCTCTGGTCTGGCTTCTGGTTTGTGGTCGTGCCTCATCATCGGTGTGGCTTTGGGTTTGCTTTTTGCGTGGATGTGTGGTGGTGACATCCTGTGTGGTTTTTGTGAGTGTGGGTCTGGGGTATCATTTTTTGTGTTAGGGTCGTTTGTCAATAAGGGCGGGTTTCCAAATGGCTGGTAGGCGGGAGGTATCATCTCGCTTGTTCATGCTGTGTGGGCGTTTTTCTATCTCGATGGCTTCTCTGATTATTCTGTTATTAAAATGTTCACTTTTGGCAATGGTTCTGGTATTTTTAAAGTCAATTTCATGTCCTGTGGCTTTAAGGTGTTGGACCAGGGAAGATGTTGGTTCCTCTTTTTTGACTGAGTTCTTATGTTCTTCAATGCGTGCACTTATTCTTCTGTTGGTTTGTCCGATGTATGTGGTGGGACAAGTGGTGCATGGGATTTCGTATACTCCTTGATTTTCTAATTCAATTTTATCTTTGGGGTTTCTAAGGATGGTGGATATTTTTCTGTTTGTGCAGAATGCTGTTTTGATGTTGTGTTTATGGAGGATCTTACTGATTCTGTCTGTGGATGCCTTTTATGTATGGGAGGATGGCTTTGCCGTTTTCTTGTTCTTTGTCTTGGATTTTAGTGGGGGTTTCTTTTTGGATTAGGTTTGTAATCTTATTTCTATGGAATCCATTGGATGTTAGTACATTGGTGAGAGTGTGTAGTTCGGGTTTTAGGTGTTGTTCGTCAGCTAAGCGTTTTGTTCTGGAGATGAGTGTCTTGGCTACAGAGTTGATCTGTGCTGGGTGGTGGTGTGAGAGAGCGTGCAGATAGCGGTTTGTGTGTGTTTTCTTCTGGTAGATGGTGTGTCCTAGGGAGCCATTGGATTTCTTGTAGACTAAGACATCCAGGAAGGGAAGTTGGTTGTTAGCTTCTGTTTCCATGGTGAACTGTATTTTGGGGTGTAGGCTGTTGAGGTGTGTGAGGAAGTTGTCCAGTTTTTCTTTCCCATGTGGCCAGATTATGAAGGTGTCGTCTACGTATCTGAGCCAGAGTTTGGGTTTGTGATCGATTTTTCTAGAGCTTGGGTTTCAAAGTGTTCCATGTAGAGGTTGGCAATGACAGGTGAGAGGGGTGATCCCATGGGTGCTCCTTCTGTTTGTTTGTATTTTTGTCCATTATAGATGAAGTATGTGTTGGATAGGCAGTGGTTGGTCAGATCTAAGATGTGTTTGGGGGGGTT